AGTGCTTATTCATTGTATCTGTAGGCAGATATGATAAAAGACTTTTGGAATTTGATTTTTGTCTGTTGTGAGAAGGCTTTATTTATCAATTGCTTACTAAGTCCGAAGTAGCACCTGTTTTAATTAGTGCTTACAGATCTACAGATATAATGAATAATAGATAGATAAGAAACACCACAAAAACATTTATAAAAACCGGCCTGCGCATAGATAACGTTGGAAAGAACAGACATGATTTCGCCATTTAAGTCTATTTAAACCAACCTGTTAAGTCAACAAATTTGGGTGTGCCTTTAAATTGAAAGGATAAATTTGTTCTTCTAACGTTTCTCTAACTTATCTTGGCGGCCGGTTTTTTATATAAATTTTTTGTAGCAGGGGTATCCTGTTTCTTATCTATCTATTATTCATTATATCTGTAGATCTGTAAGCACTAATAAAAACAGGTGCTACTATGGGCTTAGTAAGCAATTGATAAATAAAGCCTTCTCTCAACAGACAAAAATCAAGCTCCAAAAGTCTCTTATCATATCTGCCTGCAGATACAATGAATAAGCACTTTTGAAAACATATGTTACTTTGGACTAAGCAAGCAAATAATAAATAATGCCTTCTCTCAATAGACAAAAATCAAATTCCAAAAGTCTTTTATCATATCTGCCTACAGATACAATGAATAAGCACTATTAAAAACATATGTTACTTTCGGCTTAGTAAGCAATTAATAAATAAAGCCTTCTCTTAACAGACAAAAATCATGCTCTACAAGTCTGTTATTATATCTTTTCTGATGTATGGTGCAAAAGTTTGGACAATAACCAACAGTGATGAGTAGACCTTACGAGCATTTGAGAGAAATAGATTTTGAAAAGATCTGTGATCCATTACGCGTTAACAGTTTTGAATTAGATGAAATGATGAGCTATACGATGACATTGACATAAGCGATTAAAAATACAGCGGCTTCACTGGTTTGGTAAAGGACATATGCATTGGACTAGGTGTACAACGGTATGGGGAAACTGTGCACTATCAACTGGCAGCAGCAAGCCACTAATCGGGCTGGGTTGTAAAGGCTATTAAACACATCCAATAACGACTCACGCCTATAAGTGAGTAAGAAAAAATAACTGGATTGCACGAAACAAATTTCAACGAATTACAATTACCAAGCTAATACTGTTTTTCTTTAAATGTATCGATTAAGTAAGACCTTCACACTAACCTAACCTAAGCAACCTGAAATACAAGTTTCAAGATAGTGCAATTTTCGAGCCTTTTTCTTCTTCTTTGCATTAAGTGGAGAGCATCAAAAGCCACACTGTGAGAGTTGAACCGACTGAAACAATCTCTTAGTAATGATTGTGAAAGATTGGGCAACCCCATTCTAGTAATCAGGGAGAAACGGTAAAAGGAGCTTAGTATTTGTAGTTGCAAAATTTATCTAAGCTAGGTGTAAAAATATAGTAAAAGTTAATTATGGAAGATGTTGAATATTACTTAAAACTACTTAGGACTACTTAGGTATATACTCTGTAGAGTGGATTACGATAACGGCGATTGTACAGCAGAACTGAGTGGGAGAAGTGAACTATCTCGTCGAAATATACAGCAAAGTATTAGTTAAGTCAGTGGAAAAAAGTTTAGAGAAACTTAATGAGAATTCAAACAATTATCGAGCTAACACTGTTCTGCTACATATATATGTTCTTTGAATGTATTAATCAGAACATTTCATTTCATTGAACATTTATCATTTAAATCATATCACATAAACCTAACCTAAACCTGAAACGCAAGTTTCAAAATAGCACAGTTATCGAGCTGACACTGTTCTGCTGCATATGTGCTTTAAATATATCGATTTTTTTCGATTTGTTTTTAAGGCGATAAAGCTTTCATATTTACTTATTTACCGTCATTTTCCAAATTCCCGCTTTTTTCTTATTATTACTACACACCGTTTTATTGCTATCCTCAGATTAACTTCCAATCGTTGTACTTCCAAACTGCAAGTAGTAAAAGCTTTCATATGCACGCGAACGTTTCAAGTTCCATATTTCATTTATCATGTTCCAATGTTCCAACGTTCCACTGGTACATATTTCGCACACAACAGATATTTCAACCATACCAAAAACACGGAAAGACATTGAATTTTTTTTGACCTTAGAAATTTTATAACTTTTTGTATCGAATTAAATTATAAATAAATTTAAATTAAAACATATATATATATATATATATATGTATATGTATATATATATATATAGATATAAAAAATTGTACTATAAAAAATTGTTAAAATAACTGAAGTTATAAGTATACATATTTGCAATATATAATATAAATTTGTAGCACTTATATACAATATTAAATATCAAAAAAAAAAAAAATATATGTCTTATGCTCTGTTGTTGTTGTTCATACGGAAAATCAATAATTGTAAAAATAGTGCTTTTTGTTGTGAAAGGAAAAACAAAACAAAACTTAAATGAAAATTTGTGAATTAGAAAAAAAGTGCATCAAACGAGTAAAAATAACTTTGAATAGCAGAAATAGTTAATCACAAAAATTAATTGTATACAAATAATTAATAAGAGAAAAAGTATTTTTAATTAATTAATAAAGTGTTAAGTGCTTTTGGCATATTTTGTAAAAATTTTAACATTAAGAAATTGAAAATTATTTTAAAATTATTGCGAAAAGCAGTGACAATTACATTGGACCAAGAACAGATATCAAAACCCACCTCCAACATTTCTACCCCAGCTAAAGGAATTATCTCAAAGGCAAAAGTATAAGCAAAACAAAAGGAAATCAAACGCTGGTGCAGATTAACAGCTGAAGTTTTTGCTTGAAGCGAAGTAATTTATCTTTTTTGTGATAGACAAACACATACATCCCCCTCCCCCCGTCTTTGCTGCACAGCACACTTGCTAGTAAGGTGTTGCCAACAATTTCAATAATGTGTGGCCTTACTAAAATTATTGTAATTATGTTCCTAATTACGATTACCAAGTTTTTACTTATCGATGCTGACCATACAATGCGTGCAGCAAATCTGTTGACCCTCACGGCATTTGGGTCATTGTTTTGGTCGCGGATCGGTGCAGTAGACACAAGACAGCATTACGACAACTCAATTCAGTCTGCTAATGCGCATCATTTAGCAAAACGCATGGACCTGGAATCATGCCTAGGTAAGTACATCCTATGGGAAGCTCTAACCAGCACACCGCTCTTTCATTTCTTGCAAATGAAGTCAAAATTATACGTGGGTTGTTTAAAAAGTTTTGCGCCCAAAATATGAAGCAGCTGTTTAAACACAAATTATATATTTTTGATATCCCGAACAATGCTTCAGAATGTAATTCAGATGATACGAGCATCAACTGTTTTTTAATTTTTTTTTTTTTTAATGTCAAAAAAAAATAAAAGGTTTAATTCTTATAACATACGAAGCAGTTATTTAACGACGAAAATATTTTTAATTATGGTTTACCCTCATGTTATCCTTATGTATCCTCAACTGCTCCACCTTATTTTGACTCTTTTTTACTCTTGCATTTATTTGTGATTAAACTTATCTAATTATCTTAATTAATTTTTTTAATTCAATTTAATTTATTCCAATATATCCTAATATAATATAACATATTTTGTATTATACCTTCATTTTTAACCTAAGCCATACCTTCATATACCAACCTTCATAACCGTTATGCTTACCTTACAGTTATTTGATCTAAAGGTTAAATTCACCTCAGTTATCCTGGCTTATATTTTAGTTATTAATTATAATATGTATTATTACTATTATATTATTATCACTATATATTATTACTTATTTATTATCATATTATATTATAATTATTATATATTTATTATATATGTTTTGTAATTTATAATGGTGTGTGATTACAATATAATTACTATCACACTGAATGTGTATAATCAACATTTTCGCTTAGGTTTAGAGTAGGCTTTATTCTAGAGAATAAGTATTGGAACTGTATGTAAACGGGGTATCTAGGTCGAGATTTGTAGACTCTCCGTAAACTTGGTTCGGTAAATCTTTGATTTGCGATAAATCTTTGATTTCCAACGATGCTTTCTTGATACCTAGAAATACTTTAGAACATCATTGCAGTGATGGTTTTTTGATGTAAAGGAAGGTGTGAAAAGAAGGGGAATCGTTATCGCTACCACAAACCATCCAAAAGTATCAACAAAGAATCATTTATATATATGAAAAATAACAGACCTATTCTGTGCACTTTATAAACTTGTCAAACATTGACACTTGTCAAAATTGACTGCTGTAAAGGTTTTGGTATTCTGTGACATAAACAAAAAGCTCTTTTCCTTGTTAGTTGTCAATACTACAAATGCTGTTGACAACTATGAAAATGTGCTCTTTTTAAGCATTTTTTATTAATTGCATGCATGACAAATATCCTTAACTAAAATATACGCTCTTTACAAGCATATTTTTTATTGTTATTTGAATGCATGAAAAATGCTTTGGACAACTTAAAATATATGCTCTTTACAAGCATTTTTTACGAACAGTTACGAACAATTTCGAACAGTTTTCTATACAAGATGTGTCCAGAATATCAAAAAGTTTAATGCTATATAAAAATCAAAAATTTTATTAAAGAATTTGACAAATCTGTCAAGTGCACAGAATAGGTCCGTAAGTGTATATATTTATTTTTTTATTATATTTATTTCAAAATGATGATTAAATTAATATTATATAAAAAAGAAGTACAAAGAATTTATATATAAACCTTAAAATTTTTAAAAAATATTGAGGTGAAATACAGCAACGATGCCATCGTAATTCTTCTGGCATCGATGCCACTATATAATATATAGTGTAAAGTTTATACGTGTATAGTATATACGCTGCTCGGTACATAACTATATTTGTTAATACTCGTATGACTAGGTACGAAAACACTAACTTGTAGTTTGCTGATTGAGAACATCATATATTTTTACTAAGATTTCATTTATATATCACTAAACGGAGTAGTATTGAAATTTCCGAAACTTAATAAATTTATGTTTGCAATCCGCAGAGCATATGTGCTTCTAAATAAATATTTTCATACGAAGGGTGCTTAAAAAATAACAAAGTTAGAGTATTAGAAAATGTTAAACATAGAAAGAAATATATTTTTTCATTTAAACTCTACTTAATACACTTTTCGCAAAACGTTAACCCATTTCTTTTACTTTTCCATATAGAGCATGATAATATTTATATTCGTTACTGATAAAGTTGAAGAGCATTTAATCAAGCATCGATGCGACGTCCAATTTCTATAATAGAAATAAAAAAAAATGCCTAAGCATTATTGTTTATAGCATAAAGAATTGATGTAAACCACACAATCAAGTATAAATTATATTAAATTCAAATCAACCATTGTACATCGTTCACATCTATATTTATAAGTGCAGTAAATTAAACTAAATGAGAATTCAAATTTCTATATAAGTATAGAATTATAAACTTTAAACCAGATGTTGTTCTACTTGCATCAGTATTTGCTTTGTCTAAAATACTAGAGAATTTTTTTTATATACTTTAAACATAAATGACGGAATCAAACAAAATTTACATTAAATTCAAATTAACAAACAGTCATTTAGACAAGTATAAGGATTTGTTAATTCAATCAAATGAGAATAATCCACATAAAAATGAGAGTAATCCACATACGAATGGTTCCAATAAAAATCATACAACCAAGCATGATTGTATATTAAACTTAAAATAACGTCATTTAAATCCATATTTAACAAAGTATCAATTATTTATTATTGCATTAATTGATTTTAATTTATATTTATATTAAAATATAAATATTATTTTTTTTCTTTTGGTTTTTGTTTTTACATTTATTAGTTAATACTACAACTAGTTATAAGAAAATTAACGAGTAGTTTGTCGTTGACGCCTTCACGTATATTTAAAACCCCAATTTTAAATTAAATCATAATAAAACCTTTTGACTTCTTCCGATGAAATCGTCGGACCAAGGCTATAATCTTAAGAAACCTGTTAACTTCTTCGATTACATGCCTCTGGAACTGCTTAGAATGACCTCCCTCTTGTCGTTTAATTTTCACACCAACTGTGACGTTATTGAAATGTTAACGTCTCGGTCAATATCTACATTTTAAAGATATATTGTGTACCTAATTTGGATTCTTAGTTTTTCTTAAATTATGTCAATTAAAGCATTTCATTTTATTCTACAACTGATTCTTCGCCTTCAATAGGTCAATTTGATGTTCATAAAAACACAATAATACGGACCGGTGAATCGCAGGCAATTGGTGGTAAATATTTGCAAGGTCTTGAACTGGACACAATGGAAGAATGTCAACGATTATGCTGCGAAACTGATTCTTGCGATGTTTATATATTTGAAGACAAGAACGACGGCTACTGTTATCTTTTTGAATGCGGTCCACCAGAAAATTTCCATTGCAAATTTACAAGACATGCCAATTATACAAGTGCAGTATTGACAACTATTCGACATATACCAGAAACCACCACTCCCCGCCCTACTTTACCACATATTGCAACAACAAATATATCTCAACAAGAATGGGAGTTATCAAATTTAAAGGTAAAACAAGAAACTCGGGAGAAAACTTCTGAGAACGTACCAGGAAACGGTGGCGTGGTAAGCTCCCCTATCGGTACAAGTAATACTGTTGGTACAAATAATATTGCTGCTGGAAGTAATAGTATAGTGGCAGTATTACCACAAAGTAACAGTCAAAATGAAATTAGCAACACACAAAAAGGTCCGTAAGAAGTTTATTTATTATTTTATTTAAATATCATTTATTTAAAATTATTTATAGTCACTAATATAACAGCGAACTGCGGTCGATTTCAGTTCAGCTGTCACTCCGGTGAGTGCATTGCTGTCTATAACGCGTGCGATGGCATACCACAGTGTGAAGATGGCAGTGATGAAGGTCCAGAGGTAATATTTATTCTATATATGTTACAATCAATTAATATATTAATATATTGAAAATAATTTTAAAATTTTCAGTGCTCTGGTGCTACTTCATCTTCTTCAGCTGTTAATGCAGCTATTCCTGCTACAAATACTGCTCCCCAGACAAATGGAAATTTGGACACGTCGACTATTACCAATAATAACAATAATATATTAGATCCTGTTGTACAGAA